CTTTGCAGTCTCACTGTTTGAATGTCCACTTTGTATGCTTTAATCCTGTATCTTGAATAACTTGAATTTCTAAGGTGACAATATGTAATCTATTAACTAGTGATTTCTTACTTTTTTTGACATTCTGTATTACTTGTACCCTTATACTGTTTTTTTTTCTCCTCTAAATAAAATTTTAGAAAATGTGGTATTTTTATACAATGAACTACTATTCAGCTATAAAGAATTATCACATTGAAATTTATAAATAAATGGACACAATTTGAGACCATACTCATAAGTGAAATAAATCAAAATAACATGTATAAATACCACATAGTCTCCCTGGTATAAGAAATGGTAAGAGTACATAAGAGTTTATGGTAATCATGATTCCCCATTACATTGCTCTGAAGCCTTATAATATTTACATTCATTAGTTGGAATGGTTTTATCCTGGTTTGTTTGATTTTATTATCTGTGATAGTATGAACAGCTATTTTGAAGAAAACAAGACATTAGAATAGCCAGTGCTGATTTAATATCATTTTACTCTGAAGTCCTATTATGCTTTTGTTCTTTTGTTTCCTTTGGTTCTATCATGTTATATCTTATTGAATATTATTATGTGTGATAGTATAAACAAATCTATGGAAAATGAGATAATATAGTAGCCATTGTTCATTCTCTGTTATTTGGTTCTGAAGCCTTGTAAAGTTTTCATTTTCTTGAATGGTTTTATATTGTTTTGTTAGGTTTGATACTATCATATATGAAGTTATGCTCAACTATTTCAAAGAAAGAGACATTATGGTAGTTACTATTAATTATGGGTTGTCTTGTGGTAAAATGCTGTGTTGCTTGCATTGTTCTGATCTGATCTGCTTTGTTATGTCCTATTTTGTCTTAATCTCTTTAAAAGAAAAAAGTAAACAAAGAAATGTAAAGCAAAAAGAAGAAACACCTTTTATTTTCCTTTCAAAGAATAAGGCATGCAAGCATTTGCTCACCAGTGATATATCACTATGAAGACATATTACAATATCATCCAGCTTTGTATCTCCTAGACCAATACTAATGATACTACTTTCCAAACTCCAATTTGGCTAAAAATCAAAGACCATCCCTTTGTATTTTGTAATACCAATTTTATAGAATATTACAGCAACTATTTCAGATTATTTCAATATGATGCCATAGCTTTAAAAAAAAAAACTTCAGCATTTCTCAGAAAATTATAAAATTCCCTAAAGTAATGTTTGCAAACATTATAATGCCATAGCTTAATACATGAGTAACACCCCAAATCAGGTTGGTGAAGCTGTGTATCAACATTAATGATGCATGCTCTTGTAGAAAACTAGGGGATTCAGAGTGGGTAACTGGCAGAAGTCTCAGCTATTTAGCAGAGCACCCTTGGGGCAAGTGACTTCACGTCTATAACCCTATTGTCATGGTTTACGTCTGTGTCCCCAGGCCTCATGAGTTTGAATTGTGCATTTGTTATTTGGTTATTGTCTAGTGCTTAGATTGATGGTGTCAGTGCTCCACCCACAAAGAGGTGGAGCCAGGATGTGATGTAATGGCAGGAAGAAGGTGTGTCTTGCTCTTTGCCGGTTCTTGCTTGCCGTTTGCAGCTGCCACGAACCACCACGCCCAGCTGTGCCCACCTGCCTTGGAGCCAACTGAGTGTGGATTGAAACCTCCAAAAACTGTAAGAAATAAACCTTTCCTTTCCCAACTTGGGCTTCAGGTATTTTGTCTCAGCAATGAGTAAAAAGTAATTAAGACACCTATTAAACTGCAAATATTATTTGTGATGAGTGTAACAGCTGCATGGGATTGCTCAGCATAGTCCCTGAAATGCAGTAAACACTCAAAAAAAGCAAAACACACACATACATAGACACACACACACATAATCTGCAACCATCATTATTATTAACATTATTATTAACCATCATTATTATTAACATTGCAGCCACTGCTGCAACCATCATTATTATTAACATTAGCCCATGGAACTTGATAATTTTTTAAAATAATTCTTAATGTATAGTTACACCAAATTATGAAGAGGTTATCAGACCAATTAAAATCTAACATCTCTAATCTAAAAGTTAGCCACTTATAGCTATTTTACGTTGAAGGTATTTTTTAACTGTAGCTTCCTTTAAGCAAACCCAAGGTACATAACTACACACACAAAGCAAAAATAGGTGGAGAGACCACTATTCCTTTTAAAGGAATCACCAAAGCCTCTTAAACAAACAGTTTAATTACACCTCAAGTATAAAGAGGTCAGGCAGGGGATTTAGCGTGGTGGCATAAGTGTCTGTCTGGCAAGCGCAAGGTTGTGAGTTCAATCCCTGGTACCTAAATAAATAATAGTGAGGTCACGTGCACACATGTACACACAGTGCACCCAAAAAGCTGACTATATATTCATTCCATCTTACTCTAGCTGTTCTTAGTATAGTCTTAACATTGGTATATATTCATTACACCAATGCCAGGAGCTGAAACAGTTCAACAAATTTCATTCTAGGGTGACCCACAAGAGTCTCCGAAGGACACATGCATCCTGATGTGCCAGGTTCCCCAGTGTTATCAATTCCTCTCCACTCTATTCTTACCACATACGTTAAACTGAGAAATTCCAAACCCTTGCAGCTTTAAAACTTTCAGAATTAAACTTCAGAAGTTACCAAACACAAAGGTCTATTTGTTTTCTGGACAAGAAGCATGTTTAAAACTCTTCTTCCAGGGCCAGGTATTTAGCTCAGTGGCTCAAGTGCCTGCCTAACAAGTGCAACATTGTAAGTTTGATCCCCGGTACCAAACCAAACCAAACAAAAAAACTCTTGTTCCAAGATCTCAAAATAAATCCACAGCTACTATAAAAATGGGAAGGAGACAAATATTCCCAGAGAATATCACATGCTTCAAGAGAAAGTAAAGTTATTTAGGAAACTATCTGCTTACAGGAGTACTCAACAGATCTCAAGCTGAAAATCAGAGCCAAGGATTACAGTGCAAGGGTCCAACGTGTGCTTCCGCACAAAGCCCTGGCTGGGTTCAGTCCCCAGCACCAAAAAACAAAAATAAGCAAAATGAAGCCTGAAACATTTAAAATTCAAAGAAACTAAGTTTTTTCTGTTTAAAAGGGGAAGAAATGTAAAATTTCTTAATCTCCTCTGCTGGATTAGACTGATGAAGATTAATTTTCATTAATGTTCTATTTCTTCAAAACTAAACAGCACTATCTTTCTGTGTCAAAAATGTAAATTAAGCAGGAAATTTCTATCTGGTTTTTAAAATATTTCCTTATAGTGTAACAAGTTAAAATATTATCATTTTTAGCTTTTTGAACCTGAGGGCTTTCCCACAACATTTTTTGTGTGGTAAAATACTGTTAGGCCCCTCCACACATACAACTCCTGTGGACAACCTCGTGGAGCATGCTAGTGTTCACCTCCATCATTCACTAATTTCACCCCAACCATTCTGGTTCAAATTAACCAGCACAGCACTGGTGGGGGAGGCAGCTTATTTTGATCGTTACCTCACTTAATCCTAATTGGTTTCCCATCAGAACAGGTCTAATAAAGTCTTTTTTCAAAGTGTAAGTTCTCTTGTGTACTGGATGTGAGTTTTTCAAATACAAACAGCTTTCTGTGCTTCACATGTGCACCTGACACATTGAGAGATAAGTGCACACCAGTGAGACCATCAGCCACTATCAGTGTCACTATCACTGCCATCGCCTTTAAAGGTTTCCCTCACTGCTTGTTGCCCTCACTGTTTGTTTTGTTTTCCTTTTGTGGTAAAAGCACTCAACACAAACTCTATCCTTGTAGGATTGTGTTTTGTTTGGTTGGTTGGGTTTTTCTGCACACCCAGGGCTGGCAGGTGATCAAACCCAGGGCTCATGCAGCTAGGCAAGTGTGTGCTCTACCATTCACTCACTATACCCTCAACCAGGAATTTATCTCAGTGGCATAAGTGCCTACCTGGCAAGTATGAGATTGTGAATTTGATTCCGGGTACCAAAAACAAAAACAAACAAACAACAAAAAAAACACCAAGAATTATTAGATAGTCGGGCATGATGGCACATGCCTGTAATCCCCAGCAAATAGGAGGCTGAGGCAAGAGGATCCTTGTAAATTCGAGACCACCCTGAGCTATAAAGTGAGCTCAAGGCCAGCCTGAACTGCATAGTGAGACTCTGTCTCAAAAAAATATTTTTATTAGGTACTCCACACTGCTAATCATAGACAGAATAATGCATAACGGAAGCTTTGAATCAAACATCATTTTTTTCCCTAAATTTCTACACATTCTTTTGTTGTGAACCTTGGAATTCCTTCCAAGCAGAGAATCCCTTGCTACCAGATTCTTCATTGGCAGGCAGACACTTGACTCTGGCTGGCCAAGCACACCATCGACCATCTCAGGGAATCATCTTGTCTGGGCCAGTGACCCAGAATAGGTAGGGCCTTTACGGAGGACAACCACAGGTCCAGGTTTACCTGTAGCAACGCCAGTGTATGCCTGCTGTGCTGGCATAAGTTTATTCTCAAGCATATTAGCATTTAGACTACAAGATTTGCTTTGTTTGGATCCCATAAGTCTCCCGAACTCACATGGTTTAATGTTTGTCTAGGGCACTCACTACCAGGACATAGTGGAACTGGGATGGAAGAGAAGTCAGCCAGCATGCCCCCTTCCACAATGCCAATAGCACTTTCTGCTTGCAAAAAAAAATGTCTCCAAGTTCATAATCACTCCTCAGAGAACTGCTGCTCTGAGGAAAATGGTCATTGTCCCCTTGATCTGCCAGAGCAATAAGAAAGGTGAAAGCCTTAAAAACGTTAGCCACCATGAAATCAGTGCCAACTGAGAGTAAAGTAACTGAGGGGAATATCGGTAACACAGAGAGAAACCAACCCACTAGCAACAGTACCTGGAAGCAGAAGGTGTCTGCAAGTCAACAAGTGAGAAACAATCATACTCACCAAGGAAGTATGAAGTGACAGCAGATTAACATCTTCCTCAGAGGACACAGGGGAGAAATTCTAGTTGGATGACAGAAGAAGTCCCAGCCATGGCATCTCAGGTTTTAAACAGGTATCTGCCCAAGAATGTAATATCAGGGTTTCTAGGTGAGTGTGTGTGTGTGTGTGTGTGTGTGTATAAAGAAAAGGATATTAAAGCTTTCCCAACACAAAAGTACCCCCTTGGCCAATCTATAAATTCCATTCCTATAATGGGATTATTAAGAAAAGTAGGTCATGGCACCTGTTGGTTTTGCAGCTTACTACAGATACAGACCAATGCTGAAAGCATGCGCCTCTTACCTAAGCAGCCTAACAGTCACCTACATTCTTCACATGCGTAACCCTTAGGAACATCATTTTTCTTTTCACTTTATAACACTGGAAGTCTAATTCCAGTGAAGCAAAAATGATTTTAAAGTTTTCTTAGTGTTTTGAAATGTACAGGAGTTTATTCTGATTAGTCACTGAGGCAATCACAAAATAGCCAAAAGAACACTTAGGGCTTAGTGTTTAGTCCAATGGTAGAGAATTTACCTAGTGTGCCAAAACCCTAGCTTCAATTCTCATCACTGAAAAGACAGACAGACAGAAAACAAAATAAAAAACAGCAGAATGAGTATAAGGCACATCACAGACCAATTAGTCTTTCCAAATGCCATTTGTAGCAAAACTATCTAATTTAAATAGAGCTACATATAGCCATATGGATGATCTCATAAATACAACGTGGGGATGGTAATAGGAAACCATTTTATAAACCCTAAAAACATGCAAATCTGTCATTTAGAGATGTGTGTAACTGTACTAAAATGCCTATTTGAGATACTATCTTTTGGGGAGAAAGGGAGCCAAACAAATACATAGATATTATGGTTTTGTTTGTTTGTTGAGTTAAGATGTTACTATGTAGCTCAGGCTGCCCTTAACCTCACCATTCTCCTGCCTCACCCTCCCAAATACTAGGATTACAGTTCTGTGCCACCATGCCCAGCTTGATTCTTAATATTTTTATATTGCTAAAATATATCCAACTTATAATTAAAAGGAAAAAACGTCTAGTACTAAAATAAGTTATTGCTCTATAACGGATGGGATAATAAATAGAAAAGGAATATGGAAAAAGAAAGAGGCAGAAAGGTAAGGGAAGAAGAAGGAAGTGAAATGTTATTTTTATGAGTGGAGTTCTATATTTTGTAGTGGAGGCTGAAAATCAATGAATTTTTGAGTATATATGCTTATCAATCAGTTTTATTTACATTAATGATCTCAAAGGGTGTTAAAATCTACCAAATTTTAAATCATGGCTCGGTACTTGAAGTGATTTTATTTACAGAAATAAACCCAAGGGCAAGGATCTCTACCTTATTACTTCTTTGTTATTATCTCAATCACAATATTCAACAAATTGTGGGTGAGGAATATTTGCTGATTGCTAAATACTTTCACTCAGCAGTGTTGTACTCTAGCCAAAGAGCACTGTCATCCTGTTCTGTGCTCACCATTGCCCTAGTTATTTGCCCTAATTACCTTGTAACTTCCTTTGCTAAAGTAGCTGTTTCTCACAACTGACCACCCTGGAGCACCTGACCACAATTTAACCAAAGCACCACCATACTGTTCTGTATGCACCGTCACCCTGGTACCCTGTTTGCTGTGTTAACCTTTGTTGCCTTTGTGAGGGACAATTGTTCCTGGAATCAGATGATCTCGAGTTACCAATATTCCATCTCAGCCTTTGTCCTCCTTTTGTGAAAGACAGTTGTTCCTGGAATTAGCTGACCAAAAGCTGTAAATTTCTGTAAAGGAGGAACTTGTTGACCACCAACTGCAAAACTTTCCGTAAAAACTTTGTCCTCAAGCAAAAAGGGAACAAAGGTCTTCCTCAACCTTATTCTCCCCCAACCCCTTACTTTGCAGTTTTTTCCTTTATAAGCCTGACAAAATTTTAACCTGATTACACAGCTTTGCAAACTCCAACTGCACTGTTTCACTGGTACCAGCTTACATAAAGTGCTTCTTTTTCTTTTAAAAGATGTCTTGCCCCCTTTTTGGACAATATCTCGGGGTCTCATTTTTGGGGTACAACAGTAGTAAGTCTTCAGGTCCTACTGGCTTCCCATTTCTTTAAATATTTATGGAAGATTGGAAAGACATCTCTATAAGCCCCAATTACATAAATCCAAGAAGCATTTAGTACATGTGGATGAGCTTTTACAGAGCAATTAAGGATTTACTAAATGATTCTGAAAATACACAAAGGCTATTTTTACAAAAAATAAAAAGTGCAAAACATCTGGAAATACAATTCAACTTACTTGATTGTTATTCTTCCCATACCTCCACCCTCTAATGGCCTTCCCTGACTCTAGACCTTCATGTTCTGTATACAAGGCTCAAATAAATGAATGATTGGCCTAGTCCCTGGTGAACCTTTTGGAGCTTTCAATGATAGAAAAAACTAGCTGCAACACTTCTGTCATAGGTTCACCACCACTGGCCTAGAATGAAATTTCACCGGCCTTTCAAGCCATTTATTAAGTGGAAACTTAGTAACACCTCAAGGAGGTACAGTGGGAGAAACTGAATACAAAATTTCCATGTGACCAGGCCCTAACAATGGAGAGGAATCACACTTCCATCTCCTGACTTAAACCCAACACATTTAATCTTAGAAATTAGAAGTAAACTTTATGGAACAAGTGGAGAATAGCCAGGGTCTTCTCAATTTGCCAAAAGCATGTGTACTAAAGCTGCATTTTTTCATGGGAAAGAAATTAAATTAATGAAGAGAAAAAAAAAACCTTCAGACTGCTCTCTTAAGCAGGATCATCAATCAGCTTCTTTTGGTAAAGGACAAGAATCAAGAGTAAGACAGGAATTCACAAATTCAAAAAAAGCTACATTGTGTGGAGGAAAGCTAACAGCTGCCCCCCACCCTCACCCCAGCCCGAAGCACTGGCTGCTGCTGAACTATGAGGCAGCTTCCTGGAGGCAGTAATAGTGATCCACTGGTGGCCAGACTGATTTTGTCATGGCCTCTCTTCTCCATAACTCCCAAACTCCAGAGAGGACTGCCACAGCCAGTAAGAGGAGTGAAATGTTATTTTTCCACTCATAAAAATAACATATCCCTCACCCAACTAGTGCCTAGGAGCTCTAAAATTTAAAGTTTCCTGACACCCAGCTGTGCTCCCCACACTTCCTCCGTCTAGGCTCACCCCTCTTGCCTCCCACCCCACCAGCACCCAGCTCTAGGCCCTGGAGAAGCGCCATCCACCATACTGGGTGCCCACAACAAAGAAAGTATCCTCAATACTGAGAGGTCCAAGATGCCAAAGGAAATGTGGAAATCATCCAAAGAAGAAGCTGAGAGAGACTTGCTTCCCGAACTATAGGGATGGCACACAAAATTCTTCCCATTAAAATGTATTTCATCTTGTTCATTAAATAAGTATTAACCGTGTAGGCAGAGACTGTATGGAATGCACTGTAACCTTCAATGCCACTTTGATGGAAGGCGGAGGGAGGTGGCCTTGAGTCAGGATATTCTTCTCAGAAGTGGTAGCCACAGACAAGTGTACAGGAGGCAAACTTCCAAGGCTGGGAATTCCTGAGTTACGAAACTACAGGTCACTGAGAGCAGACTGCCACAGGCTACAGGACACTGCAAGAACCTTCAGTTGTGCTGCGCAATCTTTTAAAGACAGAAGGGGGACTCAGCAGTCCTGAAAAGGGTCCGGTGCGTGGCCAGGCTGCCCCGCTCCGGTGGAGCACACCCCTGCCCAAGTGCAGCAGCACCCGGGAAATCCAGCCCTGGTCCCTCCCAGACTCCTCTGAGCTCCTCTACCCACACTACCTCTCCAAGTCCTTCCGACTCTTTCGGAACAAGCCAAGCGAGGAAGGCACCGCTAGAACCCGACTGCATTCTCTCCCGGCAGGCAGTGACCCTTCTGTCCGTAACCTTTGAATCTCCCTGCACCGGAGGAGGGAAGGGAGATGTAGAGCGCGCAGGACGCCAGGAGAGCGAACCGCCTGGGGGTGATCAGGGCGGCAAGTCACCAGGGATACAGATGAGGCGCTAAGGCAGCCCTAAAGCATCTGACAGCACTGAATTAAAGAAAGAAAAGGCAAAACGGAGAACAAAAACCTAAGAAAGTTCTTCTGACAACTTTCCAGCCAATACTAGACAAACCGATGCCTCTGCCCTCCGGAGACGCAGCAGCGCGACCCCAGCGCGAGCCCAGATGGAGGCTGGGCGGGCGCCGGTCAGGCAGGATCCTCGCTCCCGGCCGCGGAGGGGCCGGGGAGGAAGGAAGGGGGCCCCGGCCCCTCCGGAGCGCCCTCCGGCTGCGCGGGCGCGGGCTGTCCGTGCAGGGGCCTCCCCTACTTTGGGTAGCAGCGATGGGTTTCGTCCCGTGTTTGATGGGCTCTGATGAACCCGCTGGTGCTCTGGAGCTCCGCGCGGTGGGCACCGATCCGCTCGCAGAGCTGCGGGCGGTCCAGGTAGCAGTTGCTGAACCCCGGGGGCTGCAGCCCCCTGACGGCGGCGATCGGAGCCCACAGTCCGGCCCGACGCGGGATCCTGGCGGCCGCCAAGCGCGGGGCGCGGGGCGCGCACATCCCCGCCAGGCCTGCGGCTGCCACGAGCCATTCGCGCGGCGCCCCAAAACCTCCCGAGCCGGCACCGCCGCGCTCCGGGCGCTCCCGACCCGCCCAGCGCCCGCTGTCTCCCCGCACTCAGGCGCGGCCCCATCCCCTCCGCCACACTTCCCTCCTTTCCCTTCCCCTCCTCAGGCCTCTTCTCGCTGTCGCCAGTCTCAGCTCTCTTCCTTGGAGGCCTCTTCCCTGTGGAATTGCTTCCCTCTGCTCTCCTCCACCGCCACCCTCGCGCCCGCCCACCCTTCCTCTGGCACCAGGCTGCTGGGTGACTCCTGGAGGCTAAAAGCAGGAAGGCTGAGGCAGGAGGCTCACAAATTTCAATCCAGTGTGGGCTGTGTAGTGACTTAGCTAGACCTGGGACTGTAACTCTGCCTTGAGTTCAACCCCCAGTACAGCTATATAGTGTATATATAATTTTATATATACTAATTTACATATTTATATAAAAATTACCCCTATTGTGATGTTTCGGGCACACACTGGGAACTGCATACATTTTTCACAAATTCACAACATAGGTTTACATATATAGGTTGACTAATAATGGTAGTATTATCAAGAAACTTCAAAGTGATTCTTTAAAACATTCAGACTCTGAGCTGGGTAATTAAAAGTCTCTGGATAAGAAAAAGCATAACCCTCAGGAATAAGTTAGGTAAGCCTCCTACTCAATCAACTCTTTCATTACAAAACAACATCTTACTACCTCACCCACTGATGAACACCAACATCCATCCTCCAGGGATTGCAATATGGGTTACAAGTAACTTCGATCCTTTGAAAGCTTCAATTCCTACTAAAATCAACAGGAGACTGGAAAAAATCACTTAAAAGAGGCACATACGTGGAAAGAACAGAAGAGCTGTAAAACGAACAGGGAGTTCTGACCGTTGAGGACCTGAAAGTCCTCAGTCTTCCAGGCTGAGGGGCTGGGGGCTAAAG